AGAAGAAACAAATGGTCCCCAAAACATTCTCCTTTCCTTCTGAAGGTTTTATGATTAAACTTAAATGGCCAATTGAGACAAACAGTTCTGAGACCGTTCTCCCACCACTGATTAAGACTGGGGCGGCAGGTACTGGGGATAATACTCATTTAGCCTTCTGAGCTTTCTGGGCGGACTTGGTGACCTTGCCAGCTCCAGCTGCCTTCTTGTCCACTGCCTTGGTGACACCCACAGCAACCGTCTGTCTCATGTCATGGACAGCAAAATGGCCCAGAGGAGGATAGTCAGAGAAGCTCTCAACACACATGGGCTTGCCAGGAACCATGTCAACAATGGCAGCCTCACCAGATCTCAAGAACTTGGGGCCACCTTCCAGCTTTTTCCCAGAATGACAGTCAATCTTCTCCTTCAGTTCAGCAAACTTGCAAGCAATGTGAGGTGTGTGACAATCCAGCACAGGTGCGTATCCAGCACTGATCTGGCCCGGGTGGTTCAAGATAATCACCTGAGCTGTGAAGCCAGCTGCTTCCATCGGTGGATCATTTTTGCTGTCACTAGCCACGTTGCCACGACGGACATCCTTGACAAAAACGTTCTTGATGTTGAAGCCCCCTTGTCCCCAGGGAGAGCTTCACTCAAAGCTTCATGGTGCATCTCAACGGACTTGACTTCAGTTGTAACATTGACTGGAGCAAAGGTGACCACCATGCCAGGTTTGAGACCACCAGTCTCCACTCGACCCACAGGGACAGTACCAATACCACCACTCTTGTAGATGTCCTGGAGGGGCAGATGTGAGGGCTTGTCAGTTGGCTGAGTTGGTGGCAGGATGCAATCCAGAGCCTCAAGCAGCATGGTTCCACTGGCATTGCCATCTTTACAGGTGACTTTCCATCCCTTGAACCAAGGCATGTTAGCACTTGGCTCCAGCATGTTGTCACCATTCCAGCCAGAAATTGGCACAAATGCTATGGTGTCAGGGTTGTAGCCAATTTTCTTAATGTATGTGCTGACTTCCTTAACAATTTCCTCATCTCTCTTCTGGCTGTAGGGTGGCTCAGTGGAATCCATTTTGTTAACACCAATGATTAGCTGTTTCACACCCAGAGTGTGAGCCAGAAGGGCATGCTCACGGGGCTGCCCATTCTTGGAGATCCCTGCTTCAAAGTCACCGACAACAGCAGCCACAATCAGGCAGCACAGTCAGCCTGAGATATGCCTGCAATCATGTTTTTGATAAAGTCTCTGTGTCCTGGGGCAGCACTGATGGTCATGTAGTACTTGCTGGTCTCGAATTTCCACAGGGAGGTATCAATGGTGATACTGCACTCACGTTCTGCCTTCAGTTTGTCCAAGACCCAGGCATACTTGAAGGAGCCCTTTCCCACCTCGGCAGCCTCCTTCTCGAACTTTTTGATGGTTTTCTTGTCGATGCCACCACATTTGTAGATCAGATGGCTGGTGGTGATAGACTTGCCCAAATCTACATGTCCGATGACCACAATGTTGATGTGAGTCCTCTCCTTTCCCAGTTTGGCTTAGATTTAGTGGTGGTTTTCCTGACACTTGTGTCCTGGTGGCAAACCCATTGTGAAAAAGTTTGGTCAACGAATCTTTAACAAGTGCACCAAGAGTGCATAATAGAGAAAAGATCATCTCTTCAATAAATGGTCCTTGGGAAAACTGGTATCCACATGCAAAAATTTTTTCAAAGTCTTTGAACTCTTGCCTTATCTTACACCATACACAAAAATCAACTCAGAATGATTAAAGACTTCAGTGTTTAATGACTGAAACCATAAAACTCCTAGGAAAAATA